TTCATCATTCGGAATCGTTTCATACATGCACCATGTATCACCGCCTCGTTCGGGGTAGTCCACTCCATCTGGATCTGGTGCAAAGGTCACCTTTTTCTTTTGCATTAATCCCGGTAACCTTCTTTTCCGGGTTACCTGTAGTTCTCGCATTTCTTTTACGTCAAATTTGGGGATTTCTTCCTCGAATTTCTTCCAGTATTCTCGAATGCTTTTCGTTTCCCTCTTTTAACGCGTTGTAGTACACTTCAAGTGATTCGTAGACAGGTGTACCAAGTCCTGCCGGGAAGATGATCGTTCTCCCTTTGCCTTTATACATGTGGTTCACACGGAAGTCCCAGAAAAGGTCAACTCTCGCTTCTTCCCACATTTCTCCTTCTTCGGTCATCTCTTCTATCTCTCGTTCAAATCTCCTTTCTGTTGCTACCGGATCGAGAGGATCTTGGATTCCTTTCTCCACACGTTGCAACCAATGGTTTAGCCATCTGCCTCTTCCGATTATAAAACTTTCCACGCATGACAACCACGTTCGATATCTATTCCAATGATACCGTTCGATGTGTGGTTTCCACATTTCGTTTGTCCGCATGATGCTTTTCACTTCCTTTTGGGCATGACCTTTAAGGTCTGCTAATGCGGCATTACATCTTGGCCATTCTGAAAGGTCATCTTGGGAGGCATTTTCACAACATTCCGTGCATTCCCATTGTGGTTGCACTCTGCACGGATCCTCAAAGTAACCGTGGTGACAACTCCCGGCTCGTTCTTCTGGAGTTAATGTCCTTTGACTCGCTTGAGGTTTAAGCTGTTCGTGTACTGTGGTATCTTCCTCACATTCGATTGGAGTCACACTTTTATCCTCAGAGGATATTACGATGACCTCTGGTTCTTTGTTTTTTCGGTGACCTTTCAACTGTTCGAGTGCCCTGTCGCGGATTTCACTTGTAAACATCTGTTCCTCTTCAGTTATTCGCTTCAAAACCCGTAACCTTTCACTCTTTTTATCCTTCCCCACTTTAGCCGTCTTTATTTCCAGTGCCTCTGGTACTGGGATAGCTTCAACACCTTTTTCTGTGTCTCCTTGCTTACAGTCATCTGCGATCATACTTCTCCCGTCCGGGAGAAATATGATCGCCTCATCCGTGTCTGGCGCGAGTGGTTTCTTTTTCCTTTCGTTGACTTTTTTGACATTTACGCTTTCGCTAATCTTCTCCGGTGCCTCTGGTACCGGGATTATCCGTTGGCTAATCTCGTTCTGCTGCACTCTCGTCATTCCCGGTGCCTCTGGTACTGGGATGACCTTTTCTCTTCCCTTTTGTGTCAGCATTGTCCGATTTAACGTGTTTTCGATCTCCTGCTGAATCATTTGCAACTGCTCAAATGGTGACAATTCTTTTCGCGTCATTTTTTTCTTTTCGTTTCCCGGTGCCTCTGGTACTGGGATTAGCGTTTTATTAACCATTTGAGCATTTCCCGTCTGTTTTACAAGTTCGGTGACCTTTCCGACTTGAACTTTGGCAACTGGTTTGGGGTCATCTTCTTTTTCTTCCTCCCCTTCGTTATCCATCAGTACAAATTTCTTTTCCAAGAAGTCAAATCCCAATAACACCTGTACGTCGTCACACTTCGGTCGGACGTAGAAGGAATGTTCGCTTGTCTTCTTTCGTAAGGTCACTGGTGCTACACAGTAATGCGTCACCAGGAATCCTGACGTTCCGCTAATTCCGTTAATCTTCACCAATCTATCTGGTGGCAATGGGAGCATATGAAGTCCATTCTTCTCGCAAAACGGTTTGCTGATCAGCGACGTCTCAGCGCCGGTGTCCAGCATTGCGTTGACCTTTATGTCTCCCACTTTCACTTCGTGTGTATATGTTTCAATTCTCTATGGTAACTTTCCATTTTGAATCTTCAAGGTGTGAATCTTACATTTCACAGGGATAAGCGATACTGGTCCCGGATCCATATCGGAAAGCACTTGTCCTTTTGCTGGAGTGCTATGACCATTCAGTATCTCGCTCAGCTTATCAATCCTGTGTGGAACGTTAGTCCGAACATCGTAATATTTTCGCGGCTTTTCTTTATTTATTTGCTTCTCTGTAGTCATTTTACCACTGGTGACCTTTTCAGCATTCTGCACTTGCTCATTTGCTTTTGTGCCGGCTGTGTGACCTTTTGTCACTTCATTTATCGTTTGATGGATCAGTTCCTCTTTGCGATTATCATTTCGTTTATCTCTCAGCTTCTCAATGACTTCACTTGTTATTTGGTCCGCTCGCTCCAGTTCGTCTTCTTCGCTATCTTTCGTCTCATCTGGTGACCTTTCGTATGTAATCATATCATATCCTTTTTCGGTCATCCATTCGATCACTTTCGCGGACACTTCATTGTTCGTTTTCGTCTGATCAATTTGCGAGGACATCCCGTCTGTTCGGGCTGGTGACTTGTCATTGGCATCCTTTTGCAGTGCCTCCGATAAGTCCCGTGACCTTTCAACTGCTCCACTCTGTTGCGTTTGCGCCATCTCATTTGACCTTCCTTTCTGTTCATTTTGCGCTAAGTCCTGTGACCTTTCGTTGCGCTTCATGACAAATCCGCCGTTTGTCAGCTTTTGTAAGGGGACTTTTTTTCCGTAATTCGGCGGTTTATCCTGTGGCGGAGCATTACGTGAATAATTCCAGTCAGCGCATGTCTTCTTATATTCCTCTGCGTTGAATGCTGGGACTGGGTTCGGTGACCCTTGCGCTGGTTTCCCGGTAACCAACTCTTCTAGTCGCTTTCTTTCACATTGCGTTCGCAACTGTTGCATGTCCCAGTAGTCCTCTTGTGACATTTTCGCTTTCTGCTTTGCCTTCGGCGTTACGGGTATCCACATCCCGTGATTCCCATTCGGTCTGTAGGCCACTTTTTGCCAGATTTCCTTCCGTTGCAGCGTTATTGCATCTACAAGTGAGTCTTCGGAGTTCTGTTGTGCCGTTTCGCTATTCTTTTGCTGCGCTGTTCGCAGTGTCAAGTCTGTTTCTTGACCTTTTAACACGACGCTGTCGCCGTGACCTTTCACATTCGCACTTGCTCCTTGACCTTTCACTTGGACTTTTTCAACAGAAGGTGACCTTTCATCTTTACTACTAACGGTGATATTCTGCTTAATCCATTCTTGCCTTATTCGCTTCTCTTTTTCGTCTTCTGAACAATTCCAAAACTTTGGCTTTGGTTCCCCGTAACAATCGCACCTTGGCTCATTCGCCTTGTCGTTTTCTGCCAAAATTTTCGGAATTTTGCGTGCTGTTCATTTTCCTCTTGCGCAGTGTCGTTCTGCGGTTTCTTCTGATTCAGGAGCGCCTGTTGAATCTTTGCATTTCGTTGAGCGCGTCGTTGCGCTAACACTTCTTCGCTGCAGTACGGTGACCTTTCATTTTGCTGCACTTTTTGCAGTGTCGCGCTACCGTCACGACAATTTCCACTCGCAGTACCATTCTGCGGTGACCTTTTATCCACTTGAACATCTCCACTCGCAGTGCCATTCTGCGGTGACCTTTCACTTTGTGACGGTATCCCTATAACCGTTCCATTTCCTTTTTGTGATGACGGCATCCATATAGCCGTTTTTCTTTGCTGTGGCGGCATCCATCTAGCCGTTTCTTGTGGTTGCGGCATCCATATAGCCGGTCCATTTTGCTTTTTCGCTGACGGCATCCATATAGCCGTTGCAGTGGTCACATTCACTGCAGTACCATTCTGCAGTGGTGACCTTTCCCTTTTATCCGGTGGTTTAGGGTCGGGTCGATCAGTAGGCTCACCGGTGCCTACTGATCTTGCCCGTTTCCCTGAACCGGCGCCCCACCTTGTTGTACGCCTTGCACATTTCCCTGCATTTGCTCGTTCACCGGGCCACCTCCGTTTGGCTGGCCACCACCCTGTTGGTAGTTTCCTTGGCCGCCGCCATTGTTCTGGCTTCCTCTGAAGTTTCCGCGGCCGAAGCCTCTGTTTCTTCCTCTGAAGCCGCCGCGGCCGAAGCCACCACGGCCGTAGCCGCCATTCTGGCCACCGCCAATTCCATTTCCGTAGTTTCCATTGCCTTGCTGGTTCTGGAAGTTTGCTTTCGCCTGATACCATTGCGTGATCAGGTCATATCCATTTGCGACCGCTTGGCGCCAACCACCAAGCCCGCGCAATCGTTGCCACTCGTTAAAGGCAAACAGGTTCGGATTCTGTTCTGGTGGTGTGTTAGCGAATTTGCACCCCTGTGTCTGATGATTGCCGTACATACAGTACTGGCACATCTGAACGTTGTTCGCCACCCATCCTTCAATCATTTGGAACTTGAATTCGGTTCGTGACCCTTGATTTTGCTGATTATTGTTCTGGTTTCCTCTGTTTGGCTGAAAGTTGCCTTGACCTTGACCTTGATTCTAAAAGTTTCCTTGGCCTCCATTCCAGTTTCCATTTCCATATCCATTTCCACCGAAATTTCCATTACCCCCACCTTGTTGTGGTAACCCGACATTCATAGGGGCCACATTCTGTGGTGCCGGTGCAGCCGCATTTGGAGGTACTGGCCTCGCTTGAGCGGCCACCTGTACCGCCGCCGCTTGTATGGCTGCCACCATTGCGTCAGCAAGGGTGACCTCTTTGGTTATTTCTTGAGCTAGGTTTGCTCTGCGGTAATCCGGTGGCTGCTGAACTGGTACCGCTGCCATTCTCTGTTGTGGCATATCTTCGACTTGACCGGTACGGGTTGTCACGTAATCTTGGTTACGTTGACCTTTTGGCGCTTTATATTTTTCTTCTCCAGCTGACCAGTGTCGGAAAAAATCTTTGATTTCGGTCGGTGTTCTGCATTGTTGCGTACGCAGTGCCTTATAAAGGTCACTGTCCACTCTGCATCCCTCGATTAGGAAACCGACTGCTTGTTTTTTAGTGATAATCCGCTTCGCCTTGTATTTCATGATCGCCTGATAAAACTGATCGAGCGATTCTTTTCCAAGGTCGAATTTCCTTGCCATGGCTTCTCGTAGTCCGAGGACTTCTTCATCACGGTCTCCATATTCATCTTTGAATTTGGCCATCCATTCCGTAATTGTATATTCTGTTTCCTCCTGGAGTGCGATCTCTCTCTCTCCTTCGAACCAGGTTTTCGCTGGTCCTTTTACTGCGCTGGCTATCTCAATTAGGATTTGGTCGTCGGTGAGATGATACGTTCGTTGGGTATCTCTGACCAGTTGTGTCCAACCATTCACTGCGTCGCGACTGCCGTCAAAGGTCACGAGTGTGTTTTTTCGAGCCATCGAGTTGAGCGCTTTTGTCAACTGCGCCGTTGTATCTTCTGCTCTCTGGTCCTCCTCCTCCTCGCTACTTTCATCATTGTTTTGATTTCGTTTCGCCTTTCCATAACGGGATTTCCTAGGACGCTCCTGCCGGCTGGAGGGTCTGTCCCGTCGCCCTTCATCCATGAACACGTTTGTTTCAAAGTGCGAGGGAAATTGTGAAGGGTCACCTCGACTCATATGCGGGTTACTTTCCGAAGGTGGCTCTTTGTCTTCTTTACCCTTTTCTCCTTCTCGTTCCGCTTTTACGCTTCCTTTACCGGTACCAGTTCGTTTTGGCATCTCAAAGTGGAAGCTTTTGCCCGTGCCCGTTTCATGTGCCTTACTGTAACTGGGCGGGGGTGACTCCACTGTTGCTGTTCTGACTCCATATTGCAGCAGTTGTTCATTTTTGTGTTTATTCGACATGTTGAGCGCCTTATTTTCATCTTCAAGGCGACGGACTTTCAACTGGAATTCCTCTTTTTCCGTTTTCAAATTCTGATTCTCCTCGTTGACCTTTAGCATGTGCTGATGGAGTTGGAAGGTCTTCTCCTGGATGACCTTTTCAGTATCATTCTCCATCCTCTTAATGTGTTCCGCCAACTGGGTCACATCCCTTTCCAACGTCGTGTATTCCTCAGCTGCCGCTTTCAGCTGGTTTTTTGTACGGGTGACCTCATCTTCCCTCGTCATTGCCGTTTGGGTCATATCGATCAGCTCCGTGTTGAGTCTGATGATCTCCTGTGTTTTCTGATGCACCGTCTGTTGCCATTCTTTATCTTTCAGTTCGAGCACCGTGACCTTTTCATCCAAGAGGTGTGCCTCATGTTCCCACATCGCGCCTTGTTCTGCAATTGTCTTGGCGGCTTCCTTTAACTCTTTGATCTCATCGGTGACCTTTTTGTTGTCCTCCTTCAACACCTTGTTCTCTTGCATCACCTGTCTTATTTCATTGTTCAACCGTACACCTTCGGTAGCTGTGAGATCTCGTAAGTCCTTTGCCACCTTAGCGGCTTCATCAGCCCTTCTCTGGTGATCGTACGACTCTTTCTGGAGGGTCCCGATACTCTCGTCACGCAGCTTCAGGTCATTCCTGAGCTTGAAGACTTCAGTGGTGTTCGTCAACAACCTCTGAGTAGCATCGGCGAGTTTGGTTGCGTATTCATCTCGTTTCGTTTCCGCTTCGGTGACCTTAAGTTTAAGTAAGTCACATTCATCCTTCAATTCGGCTAAGTGCCGTGACCTTTCAGCTGATTCTTCGGACATACTTTCATTCAACTCGCTGACTGCAAGGTGACCTTCCATTTCTCTGTCATCTACCATTTTCAGGTACTCCTCAGCGAGTTCCTTTTGACGCTCGTATTTAATCTTCCATTCATCCGCTACGCTTTCCAAGTCAGCTTGTTGTTGCTCCAGTTCAAAGATACGAGCATCCAAAGAACCTATCCGATTTTGGTATTCCTGTTTCCTCTTCGTCACCAGGCCTTCCTTGGCTTCAAGTTCTTCTTCCAACTCCTTCACGCGTCTCTTCAGAGTTAACGTGGGACTGTTAGGTGACGGTGGTCGTACGTTGATGACCTTTCCTGTTGTTGTCCGTTCAATGAGGTGCTCTGGTATGTCCTTGAATGGTGTCATACCTTCAGCGCGGTCAGCTTCCTTCATCGCAGTTTGGAAAGACATATTCATCGTCGCTTCATCATCCGTGAAGTAGGACTCGTTCGATTCGTCTGAGACCATTGGAGTTGCCCAAAGGTCATCGCCTGCGGTTTTATCGATCAGTGAAAGGTCATCCAGTCCCAGTTCAGCCAAGTTCTCTTCGGTGACCTTTGTGTTTCTATTTTCCACTTGAATCAAGTTTACATTTTTATCCTGCTCAGTTTTTCCGCTGGTGGTAGCATCCAACTGTGATGCTCCAACTGGTTCCGCTCCCCTTTCTGTGGGTTTGTCCTCCCCGGTAACTTTTGTCTGGTTCATCGGATTGCCTCCCGCCGTAGACGCGGGAGTGTGCTTCTGGTCGTCGCTGGAGCTTTCCTGATTAGCGACTGACTCGAGCGCCTTCTGATAAGTACTATCAGAGCCTCGTGAATCCTTCTTCTCGAATGCCTTGGGCGCTCGAGTGTTCCGCTCATGTCCAACTGGACGTGAGTACGGGTACAAATCTTTTTTGTACGGATTTGGTGCACCTTGCTGTGAGCTTCGGGAGCTTTTGCTTCCCTGACTGCTGTTAGATGTCGGTTCCTCTTGGTCTTTATCCATGTTGATCGGATAACTTGGACGCTCCTGCCAATTGTTCTCACACACACGTTATTGTATGGTTTATTCAATTTTCCTAAAGGTCACTCTGTACCTCCAAAATTTTTCTAAGTCCTTATTAAAGGTCACTTTTTGACTGAAAAATTTCGACTAAGTCCCGTGTAAAGGTCACTTTTTCGATAAAAAGTTCGAGAGATTTGCCCTAAAAGGTCACTTTCGGACAAAACTTCGAAACAGCTTTTACAGTTTGGGACACGTTAGCGAATGAAGTCCTACAGCTGCTGATATCGCTGTGCCACTATTCAGTTCAATTTCACTTCGCTAAAGGTCACCGTTCATCAGTTTCAGATCCTAAAGGTCACTTAAATAGATCAGTTTGGTCAATTCCAACTTTTTGGTAAAGGTCACTTTTTAAAGTCAAAGGTCACGTTCTGGTCTCAAAGGTCACTTTCTGACTCAATTCAACTCAGAAGGTCACTTTCCAACTCAGCTTCTGTTAAAAGGTCACTTCCCAACTCAATTTCAAGTTAAAGGTCAATTTCCAGCTCAATTATATCAAAGGTCACTTTCTAGCTCGACTTTGGTCAAAGGTCACTTTTCCTTTGTCTGTTCTCAAAAGGTCACTTTCCGTCTCAATTATCTCATCTCAAATCAAATTTCCCATTACAGTTCGAGTTCAACGGAAAATACCCATTTACGTTGTTTACTTCGTTCCTATTGGTCCGCTAGCTCAAATTATTCAGTTCGAATTTCTACCAATCACGGCTCAGATAACTGACCAATCACGTTAGTCCGTTTAAAATTTTTATCTGCCTGACGTCACGGTCAACGGCCAGACATGCGCGCCGTGTGCAAAACTCCGCCTACTTCTACGCTCAGCTCAGTACGGACCAATGAAAAATGGGAATTTTACTATCTAACCAATCCCGTAATTAATAACGGGTTTTCTACCTGTTCCCTCGTCCGTTCCACGGGAATCGATCCAGATGATCCAGATTCTTCTTCCACTGTCCGTTCCCGCGCTGCCGCCGGTTTTACCGTAACGGTTGTGCCGCACGCTTTTGGTCGGTTACTGTGCCGGCTGACTGCCGTAGCAACAGTAGTGGTACGCTCTACACCAGTTTGGTGGAGTCTGATCTGTCTTTTCCGTACGCCCCTTTCGGCGTTTCGGCGCTTCTGCCCCACGGCTTAGGATTCGCTGAATCCTTGCCGAGTACCAGTGACACCAGTGTAGGTCTTCGCTGAAGACTCTACACCGAGGAACACTGGCGACTGAACTCTTGCACTCTTTCACAGCTGAGGAAACAGCACAGGTCTTCGCTGAAGACACTGTACCGAAAACCAAAGCTGGTAATCCGCGTCCGATGAAGGAATTGCACCGCTTGTGGTGTTGCGCTTTGCTGTAGGACAGACCTGTGCCTTACTGGTCGGGTTTCACACCAGATAACAGGCCAACTTTGCCTGACACAAATCAAATCAAATTCAGAGAACCGCTGTCGGCTCTGCTACCATCTAATGCTAGATCCAACTGTGATCCAGATACGGAGACCTAAACGGAATAGATCCCGTGGAAGCGAGCGATACGATATAGATCGCGAGCTATGCGGAAACACAAACGTCGCACCGTAAATCGCTGACTTTTTAATATTGAAAAGTCTGGAGAACAGAAAATCAACAATGATCGGCGCAGCTCGATCGTAAAGCGTGGAGCCCATTCAACAGTGTGTAACACTGTGCAGCACGTGCTATGCCGCGCCCACTAACACAACTCAAGCCAATCAGAAGAGACACAACACAGACACGTAATCCTAAGGCGTAGCGCCGCAGGCGTAGCGCCACTGACGTGAACGCTAGTAATCCCGGTCTCGCACCACGAAAACGCACATGACAGCTTCTGTAATCTGTACACATGAAACTGCCACCCGACTCAGGCAGACAGTCACTAAGTACATGTACATTGTAGTACACTGTGTTCACGGGACCGCTACCCATATTTGTAAATTCCGTAAAACCGAAACTAATGTCTGCTTTTCTTATGTGTCGTGGAATTCACTCATCCTTTCGGTGGAATCTGCTCCGAATCAGCTCGTTCTTCTCGGTATCTGCAGACTGCGTAGACCTCCAGTGATATCCTACCGCATCGACCATGTCCGAATCAGGAGTCGCTGGCTGCTTGAAAGAGGCACTGGACAGCGGAAAATACAGCGATGTGCAGTTCGCTGTGGGTCGCCAGTTTGGCCAAGTGAAGATCTTCCAATCCTACAAGTAATGCTAATACAATTCCCTGCAGTCAGTTTGATAAAAGGTGCGTATCGGTCACTGTCTTGGGTCTTTGTTCCAGGAATGTCTTAGGCCTTCGCAGTCCCGTGTTTGCCACGATGTTCTACGGGAGTTTGCCGGAAAGTTGTGAAGTCCCCATCGAAATTCCCGATCTCGTTCCCGATGCGTTTGCTAACATGCTCAGGTACTTCAAAAGAATCTTGTTTATAGAACCTCTTGTTATATTACTGTACCGATTCTTTTAGAATCTGCCTATACTTTAATTGTATAATTATTTTAGCAACAGTCAATAATTTAGTGAAAGTTCAGAACTTTTGAAGTAGTACGACTGTACGATCGGCAGCATGGTTGCGCTGACACTTTTTAATTTTATCGAATCGCGGGAGTAACTGCGCCATTTGCACGCAAATGCTTTCGTAAAGATGGGAATCTGGATATCTTTTGTCCGTCTCGTATCGAATTAGATAATGATGTTGCTACTGGCCCTTGGCTTGCACTTACTTCTGTGATGGTTGTACTAAACACAGTATTACCGTTTGCAGCTACATGTACTCGGATAAAGTGGAGAATCTTAGTACGGGAAACGTCTTCCCCACGATGACATGCGCTGACAAGTATGACTTACCGCTTCTGACGCAGATCTGTTCTAATTTGCTGGACAAGCAATTGACTCCCGAAAAGTGTCTGAACATTTTGGACGAGGTGTGTCTGTTTATTCGACGTTAGCTGCGTTCACAGTTATTTAATAACTGTACACATATACATTCATATGGTACAATATGTAGAAATATAAACAGTAATAAACTGTAGGGCCATTCAATTGCACTGTTGGTTTTGCCCATATCGCGATTAAGGTTAGCAATCCAGAATCAGTATCCTGGTTTTTGCGATAGTACGTTGATGGCCACTTAATTATGGGCATCGTCTGCGTTTAGTACCCTGGGTCTCATTATTACTCTTAACAATTTTGCAGGCAATTCACTGGCAAGCCGATGCCTTTGTGGAGAAATGCTGGGCTATCGTGGATTCGAAAACCGAGGAAGTTTTACGGTCCACTAAATTTCCGGAAGCCACTCACGGCATTCTGCACATAATGCTGCAGCGCAACACGTTGACGGCTGGAGAGTTTGACGTTTACTTGGCTGTTAACAGGTGCATTTAACAGGAACAGAAACATGGCTGACATCTGAACGGGAATCTTGTCGCTTGCAGGTGGGCATCAGCCGCCTGTGCCCGCAACAACTTGGATCCGTCGGCCGTCAATCGACGCCAGATGCTGGGCGACGTTCTGTTCCTTGTCCGATTTCCGCTGCTAACGAATTCGCAACTGGCGGAGGGCCCTGCCAAGGTACCGACGTACCGTACATTATAAGTTAGTGACCCTCCCAGCTTTACTGTATAATTCAAAAACTAAGTCCAAAATAAGATGGGGGCTCGTTTGTGCAATACCTTTTAACAAATGTTATCTTGAGATAAACCTTATGCAAAATCCTTATGAAAGCGTAGTAAAATCACTTTGGCAAAACGCCGGAGATGTGGCATGGGCAAGGCCACCTTTCTCTGATTAATGCATTCTGTTGCCACAGACCGGTCTTCTGACGGAAACAGAGCTGCTGAGCCTGTTCCTGTACCGGACTGCCGAAGTGAAGCCGCAAGTGCCGTTTCCCACGGACTCCCGGACCGAGTTTCGGGTTGGCGACGAAGTGTTCGCGCACAAGCCATCCTCGCGTTGGTGGTTCCCAGCCACAGTTACCGCGGTTAACCATCGCCAGGTGGCACTGGCGTGGTTTGAAAACCTTGGTACTGACACCTTGACCGCCGACAAGGTAGTGCGTGTTGCAGACATCCTGCACCGAGGGCAGATGCTGTGCGCGGCTTCTTTTGGCTGGGGAGTATATATTGGTACAGATCAATTTAACCGGTATCGGGTTGACTGCTATGGAATAGCACGGATCGTTCCTTTGTCGGAAATGGTACTTCGGACAGAAGACGTTTTTTTATGGAAGGATAGCAAAGGAATCTCGCCGTGATGCAACAAATAATGGTTGAGCCGAATTCAGGAGCGGACGCTGATTTCGGACATGAAGCTAGTTTTCACGTTCCGTATTTGCCAAATTCCGTACAGTGGCTTTTCCTTGTAACCTTGTGGGGTTGGTAGTGTTAGATGACGCTCACTAAGCGACTTCTAAAACTGAACTGAGGAAATGATTCCATAACAGTTTACTGCTAAGTGCTAACCAATTTCTTGCGTACGGTAAAGTAATTACTTTTCCTGATGTGTTGTTAATAGAAACCAAAACACTGTTCCCGATTGTATAGCCTTTTGGTGGGTTATCTAAAAATTAAATAAAGACTTTCACGAAGATCAGCAAGCCACACTTCAAGCAAATTTTTTTGCCACTGGCTAGTACGAAAGATTATAAAATTATGTTACAGTTTTACACTTTGAATACGATGTGGTGTTGTTTGACTGTTGGTTGGAGCATAGACTGCGCCGAAAAGTTGCAATATGCGAAAGATTGAAAATGAAATGTCTTGATGTCACATGCAGCAAAAAGTTTCCGGTTCTTGTGTCATTGGAAATGATCGTTATTGATTTCCATAATTAAGGGCTTTTCTAGCGCCTGCTAGCTGATACCGAAGTTATTATCTCGATATCTTATTTATTGCATGCAGTTGCTGTGATGAGTTTTTATTAAGTAAATGAATTAAAGAGTTTCGTTATTTTGATGGCGGTTGCTAATTATTACAGTCACTCCATAATTTTTACAGATACAATAGTTTACAGTTTACAAATCTTCAGTGATCTTTATGAGCGATGTTATCATATTCTGCATGGACATCAAGCCAAATTGCTCACGGGTCAAGTTACCGTACGTGAGCCTATTACTTTGTATTTATAGAAGGAACCGTACACACGCTGCATCACTGGAGAACATTAATTTCGTCTATAAACGAGAAACGGCAAAGCAACACTTATTGATAGTAAGCAATTCGCTACAACGGTACAAGTGCTCGTAGTGATCATTGTGGGCATCTGGAAAAAAGACCAGGAATCGGATAATTCTCAAAGCAAGTCTACGTACTGTATGTAAAGTGTAGTGTCGTGCAATAAGGAAAAAGTAAAAATAAAAATAAAGAGGTTGCACGGTGGAAATATGCACTTCCCGGACCACGACCAGTCGGAGGAATAGAGCGACTCTTAATCTCAACTTCTTATGTATTTCATGGAGCGAAAGTTAAGGATGTTGATGTACAAGTATGAGATGATATGCAAGGATGAAGAAGAGGATCCGGAACTCGAAAGCCTGCTGAAAGAGAAGACACGAAAGGAAACACAAGGGATGCGTGAAGTTATACGTTACCTGTCCGACGCTAGATGGTAGCCGAAGCGTATGAGTATGACAAATCCATCAACCTGGCGCTACAGGGCATGAAGATCGAAGAGACCGAAAGGTCACGGCAAACAAGTGGGATCAAGTGGGTAGCCTGTTACGTCACGAGACTATCCGAAGATGATAATGCACGTCGACGAAGTAGAGGAATGACCCCTGACAATAGGTGAAAGGTCACCCAGAGGTCAGTTTGAACAGCCTCACTTGGAAAGAGAAGACCAGAGCAAAAGCCTGAAGTTAATCAGATCGAGTAACAAGACTCTACTTTTGTTGGGATTACAACTCTTGACATTTGTGTGGGCGACGAGCGCCTTATATAGCCCTGGGCACTCGCAGGTGCTGGCTCTTCGTACGCGCAGGTACGGGTCTGAGAACAATAGGGATTTAGAGTCTAACCAATAAGAGACATCTAAGGACACGTGGACTAATCACACCGCTGCACAACTACACGTGGACAAATGAGAACATGAGGTCAACTAATACACTAGAACAATAGGTTGAGCTACGTCATCGAAGCGCGGTCACGTCGAAATGGCAAGTCGCGGTCAAAGTTCTCTGCTGGGGATTTCTAAGAAGTCAACACTCGGAGTCGCGGTCATGACTCGCGTAGAAGATGTAGTAAAGCCTAAGCCTTAGTAGTAGGGGTAGAAGTAGTAAAGTAGTACCGATGTGTACTAAGGGACGCCAGTACACGTCACCCCCGCAAACGAGATTTCTCTGGATCGTAGTGGAACAAAAGTGAAGCTCTGCGGAACGGCGTGGAACGAAGAGGAAGGAACATAGGGACATAGGAAAAAGTAACATCTGCTCCATCCGCATAGTGCGTGCAACATCTAGCACTATCGCCACATTCCATCCCGACTATCCGGTGCCATCAAAAGATAAGTAACATCGCTCGGTCCGGTAAGTTGTAAGTGAGTTTGAGTGTTATAGGTCATCGGATCCTGGAGCGTAACTGGCAGTCCGGAAGTCCAAGGAGGTGGAAAGGCGGAAGGCAGGAACGTCCATGAGATCCAAGGTGTTATCGTATTAAAAGATGTTGAAAAAGATGTTGTTTAAGCATTAAGTGCTTTAAGACTGATCATTTAAATGTTATTCCGTATTGAAAGTGGATGTATGAGACGACTGACAACCGTTATACTACGAATAACCAATAAAAATTAGAGGATTAAAAGACTAACTGCAACAAGGAAAGTTATATCTGCGCTAAGCCGTGAAACGTGGTAGAAAGCGAACAAACAGACATTATACTACGAAAGCTAGTTAAAAAGATAAAAGTTACTAATCATACAGCACTGATAAGGAAGACTAGTTTAGACTAAGTTCAGACGATACGCAATGCAAAACGCTTAGACTGACAACACACTACAGAAATTAACAAAAACTGAAAATTCTAAAGCTGCTGATTCTGATAAAGTGTAAAATCTGTGCATCATTCTATTCTACAAAGCACTCAACTGCAGTTCTGCGTAAATGGACAAGGAGACACTACACTACGACTGTTAACAAAAATACAAGTTCTACTGGACATGCTGCGAAAGCTTATCTGCTAATTCAATGCTGTCTGTACGTGAAAGCAAAGCTGATTGATGGACTGAAAGTCATAACACTACGAAAATTAACAAAAACTAAAACCGACTGCTATACTGCTGCTGAAAATGAAGAGTAAATCTGCACTTAAGATGCAATGATAAAAGATCTACAAGCGATTAAAGCCGAAACACTACGATAAGCCACAAAATTAAAGACTGTTGAAAATCATACTGCAAAGGTAATATCAAAAAACAAGGTGAAAAGTTCAAAATTTAAACACAACAAAGTTATTACTAATTATAGACGATATAGAAACTGTCTGGATTTGCTGGATCTTAAGCCGTCTAACTACGAACATTGAACGAAAAAGAAGTTTTACTGCTACATGCACCAAAATCTGAGTCTTATAAGCTTATAACTGGATGATGAGAAACACACACTAAAGCCGAAATTCTACGCTGATTCACAAAAATAAAGTTCTACCGCCAACATACTGCAAATACACTGGTTTTAACTGCTACAGAAGATTAAGAAGACATCGATATGGACATAAAGACCGCTAAGCTACGAAATTCGACAAAAATACTGAGATTCGACTACAAACTGCACAAACTAAAGGTTTTAGAAAAGCCTTAAATAATCCTGCAACACTGCCGTCATAAAGCTCATATACTACGAAATCTCGACAAAAAGATAATTCCTACGAAACTGGCCATCTGCATTAGCTCTAACATACTGTTGATTAAAGAAAACCGTAGACCGTCGCGCTGACTCAACATGCCGATAAACTACGAGAATTACTAAAAATACTACTGAGATGCTAAATACCGCAAGTAAGGATTTATATAAGACTTTCCACACATCCATCTGTATAGACAACACAAAGCCGATCAACTACAAACTACCGATACCGAAGTTGCTCACTATGCACATACCGCATATATAGTTATCTGAAGGTGTTAAAAGTTTTAAGGGCCACGGGGGGCGCCAACACTTATTATGGTTTTAAGATGTTGTTAAGATATATAAGATGTTATTATGGTGTTACAAAAAAGGAAATTTCAACTACTGCATATTGACTTTTAAGGAATCTTGCTCAATGCTCAATTTTATCTACACCCACAAGCCGAACTACTACGAAGTACTGCAAAAACTAAAATCGAAATTCTCATACCGCATAAAGTTATTAGGAAAGGTTCTGGTACGATTTCCTTGCATACACGAACACTACTCTACGATACTCCGATACTGCTAATAATTACCGCTAACATGCCGCAAAAGGTAAAGAGGTACTGAAAAATTCTACATTCATGAAAATTAGAGCGAATATCACATATGCTGGAGTGAGCTTTTAATGACCGCCGATACAGTGATATAAAACCATTAAACTACGAAGTTCAACAAAAAATTAATACCGAAAATCACATGCTGCACTGCTAATAACGACACCTTGATCTAACTTGTTGAAATTCCATTTGAATCACTGAACTACGAGTTACCTATACTGAGATAAAAATTACTGCATATTCTGCGAATTACTGCTAAGCTACACTGATTATTAATTGGGTTATTGGGATGCAACTAAATAGTGTGGACTGGTGACATCGATAAGCGCTAACACTATTACCGCATATCGTTGATGTTGTTATCGTTATAAGCAAAAATACTGAGCTATTTACCCCAAAAAGTTATTTCAAAATTCTACTGACAAAGTTCTATTTTTCCGAGCTATCAACAAGATTCGCGTAATACTGGAAACAACTGTTGATTTAAACCGCTACAACCGGAGGAGCACCGTTCTCATAGAGCCACTCTACTACGAACAATCACGAAAATTACTACCGCCAATCTCATGCTGCAACCATAATTATTTCTGAAACGGGATTGGGAGGGTGGGAACGCACAAAAATACTACACCGCTATCAATTTCCGAGAAAAAAGGAAAATTCAACTGCTTACTGATATTATTCACAAAGCTGGAACAAATTCATTGGTCAAAATCACCTACGTTCAGACCGTACATCACACTACGAATTCCTACACTGACAAAGTTAACACTGCTCATACTGCAAAAATGATACTAAAAACTGAAGTTTTACCGAATATTCTGCAACCAATACTATTGCTGCTCAATACACTCAAAATGACCACTTGTGTGTTATAAGCTGTCGCTCACACTACGATATCACCGCACAAATACAAGTTCAAAATTCCACACCGCAAACCGATACTGCGTAAGTTCATAATGCAAAAAGGTTAATTCTGAAACAATGATCACTAACTGCATTTTATCTGACAGATTACACTGAATATCCATACTGCCATAATACTACATAATTTAACAAAAACTTAATTTCAAAACCGCATATCGCATATTACTGTTAAGTAATCTCTTAGCTGAAGTGAGTCAATTGATGAACTACAGAGCTAGAATGCCGCTACTGCATCTGCCGAAAATACTACAAGGCCTTCACACTACGAAATTCCACGAAAAATAAAACCCAAATTCTCATACCGCAATGTTAATAAATCTATGGCACACCCAAAATTGACAGAAGAGTGTAAATGCCGACCGCTACCGAAACATTCTTAGTCTTACTAGCCGTAATTCTACGAGAATCCACAAAAAAGTAAAGTTCAAACTACACACCGCAAAATCAAATTTCTGAAATAGTACTGTAATACTTCAACACGCTGACGTATATACACTGCTAGGCTACACGAACTCATATCATTACTCAACAGCCCATTTACTACGAAGTTATCCGAAAAATTAAATTTCCAATTACATGCTGCAAAATCATATTTCACAAGCTATAGTAATACTGAGTAATAGCACCCGTTAATACCGCTAACATTGCCCATAAACTGTGATCACTGAGCCAATGCACTACGAAATTACTCATCTGCTAAAATCTTACCATATCATACCGCACAGCTAAAATACGATGGAAAATGTCCTATAACTCCAAAATTACTGCTCCAATTACTTCCGTTACTGCCATCTTCACACTTCCATACTTCATACTTCATCCATACACCGAACGTTTATTCAACACACGACCGAAGTGAGAACTAAAACTTGTCTTCCGCTAACGAATATACAGCAAAAATTGAGAACATATAAACGCGAAAAGAAATTGACAATACACCGCAAAATCATGACCAAAGATGCCAACACAGAGAGTTACAAACCGTGACATCATCACTGAGGTTTACAGGCTGACTGCAAAGAATTATCAACGGAATTATTACGACGATGAGCTCTAGGATCAGGAGCGACAAGGTTATCTGAAGACTGAACACGAAGACGACTGCGCTGCACATCAGGATATGAGGAACGCGACTGTAAACCAGATAAATCGTTACGTTTAGCATCCGCCGCCATACGAGCTCGCTCTGCCGACTGTTTACGACGTTCTTCCTCTGCGTTACGCTGAAAGATATCCGAAGGATTGATTGAAGGATATTGAGGTCTTCCGTCACCATTCATAGGAACATACGCGATACCAGGAACCACAATTGAAGGTTCATTCACCACAGCATTCTGAGAAGGTTCTGCCGCAACATTTCCGCCATACATCGCATTCTGAACATTGTTCGCAACTTGAGCCACAACTTCAGGATTCACCACATTGCCAACCGCCACAGGATTCTGATCATTCACACCAACAACACCATTAGCATTACCGACATTCTGACCTTGCTGCTGAGGAACAATGTTCTCTTCGTTAATGTCCATTTCCTCATTCGCTACAGGCTGATTCAACTGTAAAGCCGCCATATTCTGCTGGACAACTTCCGCATTCTGAGCTTGCCAACCAGGATTATTCACAACAGGCATAACCGCTCCAACAATAGGTACATTCTCCGGTACAACCAACTGAACACCGTTAACACCGTTTCCGCCATTATTTGCCATAGGATACTGAGGATTGCGCTGCCACTGCTGAGCATTGTTCTGATATCCGTTATAACCTCTTCCACGATAACCACCACGAGAATAAGGACGATAATAATTCATACGCCGATTATTGCCACGACCACGATAATTTCCGCGATTACCATACTGATGACCGTTACTACACAAAGCATCTACCATATAATTAAAAGCTGCATTAAGATCCATAACTACCAAGCAAAAGTGACCAGGAAATAAATGAAAAGGTCGCAAAATAATCACCAAATAAAAATCAAAAGCGAATTCAAAGTTTTCAAACCACACACTGAATTCTGACTGCGAAACTCCAACCGCATTAGCGCTAACACGCTCACGAGTTTAATGACTGAACAACCATACATCCGCAATTCGTACTTGCATCACACAGATTACACTGATCAACGAATAAAAAGTGAAATACGTCACTGTACAACAATACCGATCTGTACAACGAAGGTAAAAACTAGAAAAAGTATCGCGAAAAATACTGCCACAAAAATACTACCGTTCCTGTAATAGTAATTAAAGTCGACAGAGGTTCAACTGCGTGCTGACCATTATATGCCGTATTAACCAACATACCCTT